GACTGATAGACCGTCGACTCATCGGTGGCCGTAGCGGGTGATATATCGCCTTGAAGAGATTCAGGTAGATCGGGAGGCGGCTCGCGGAGAAGATCGGGGATTTCGGCTGTTTCCGTTTGCAAGGGCTCCTCCAGTAGTTCAGGTCGCCTGGGTGCAGGTGCAGACGAAGACTCATATCCAGACGGAGATAGTTGTGACAGCCTTGTACGACCGGCCATGTAAGGGTGCCAATAATCATTAATGAGAACCAGATAGACGTGATAACGGAGAGATTGAGATTCGTCAGCTGCATATGCGTTAGTGACACTCAGCCATGGGACAGAGTTACGGACCTGACCAACGGTCCTCGTCAGTCGTTGAGGAGGACGGCTCCATATTGCTCACCATTTCTCTGACGCGTAAAAAAGGTGCCAGGTGGAGGAAGAGCAAGGACGAGGGTGCAAAGGCTCACTGCCTCTTATAGGTGGAAGAGGTTCGAAAATAGGCCGACCATGCTGCCTAAGGTTGAACGCGTAGCACACGAGGTCAACCTGCTGTCAGTAGGCAACCGTCATGCCGGCTGCGGAGTGAGACCCAGTCATGTTTTACAACTGACGTAGCTGTGGACCGCGTGCCACATCGAACTGCCTGGAGTGAGTTGAGAGCGGCCACCCTTGTCTTGAGATACTCTAGGTTGAGGGTGTGTAGGCCCCGAGATAATCGTGTAGCACGCGAGGTCCCTTGAATGACCCGGGGGTGAGGGTGCACAGGCGCAGGATAGATTGCGGCCTAGGCATGGCTGTGCAGCACCAGAGCTCTGAGGATGACGTTGTACAGGCGCAATATAAGCCGCTGCCTGATTCTGACCGTGTAGCACTCGAGGTCTGGGAAATGTGACAGGTGGCGCGGAGCGTACGACAAAGAATGCCACTCGCCTGCAAGCTGCACGCCATCCGCTTCACACTCGAAAAACCGTATCAGCGCCAGATACACTCTTTCGACCACTATCCATCTCACCCAGCCGATGTCCATGGCCGAGCCCGAACCGAACTCAATACCCCCCCGGCTCAGCGGGACCAAAACGCTACGATGCGGTCAAAGTCGGCCATGGACAGCGACCTTGCTTCCCTGTCCTCGCCGGTGACCTCTCGTCTCAGGCGACACGCGACACGGATAGCGATGCCAGCCTTTTGCGCGTGGCCCATGGCCTGGAATATGCTCCCTTTCAAAAAGGTGGTGCGGGCGATTTCGCTCTTGTGTGCGTTGGGGTCCACGGCCCACGCTGCGAGAGCCGTGTTCACGGTGCCACTGGCAAGCGGATCGAGTTAGCTAGCCATGGGAAGAGGGACAGCATGGGATACGGTGCGGGAGAGGGCGCCACGACGAGGGCAGGACAAGTGGACAATGGGCCGTATGGCACTTACATGGCTTCTTGCATGCGTCCCTCGCGAAGGAGATGCTCGGCAACCTTGTGGGCGGTGCGGGCCGTGTACGAGTCTCGCTCGCCAACCGTCTCGCGCATGTGCGTCCATGCCCGGCCATGGTACTCGAAGCTGTCGTCCCACCTCTCTTGCTTTGCTCGCAGGTTTCCCAAAACATAGAGGATCAGTCCAGTTCTGGCCGACTCGCGGTCATCCTTGCCCAGTGCCGCCTCTCGCAGCGCAAGGCTCTGCAGCAACAGTCCCTCGCACTCTTGGTACTTGCCCTGCGCCAGCAGCGCCCAGCCAAGATTTGCCTCGCCAGACCGAGGGATATAGTTCCCGAGAGATTTTCGGAGCCTCAAAGCCTCGGAAAAGTCGGCTTCGGCCTCGGCATATCGTTTATCTTGCGTGCGTGAGATGCCGCGTTCTGCATAGGCCAGATACAGTCTCTCATCTTCCACACCCAGGCCCTGACATAATGAAAAGACAAGATCAAAAAGCTTTTCTTTATACAGCCTGCTTGCCTCAAAATCGCTAGCATCCATAGAGATTGCACCCAAGCAAAAATACAGGTCGGCGAGTATGGCATCCCGGTCCACGTGGCTCGAGGAGTGGCATATGCCCAGTGCTGTGTCGAAAAATCCATCGAAAGCTTTCGCCATTCCGCGTTCCTTTCGGTACCTTTGTAGAGTTTAGTGGCATGCGCAGAGACAGTCATCGAGGGGACTTACCAGGCTGCTTCAACAAGAAGTTTTGCAAACAATACTTTTGCCATTTCGGGCAAGTTGGGAAGCAAAGGCCATATTTGATGTAGCCTCAGCGCATGCGGGTAGATTGCATCGCATTCCGGCCATCTTCGTACATTCAGCCTTTGATCCGAGGTACTCGGCTGGGGTAGCTGCGGCGTCCTCGACGGCTTGGGCAAAGCCGACGGCCATCGCATCCATAACGTTCGTAGAATTCCTTCAAAAATCCGAAACTTTGCCTCGGCGGGTATGGTTGCCAATATTGCGTCCTGAACAATGCGATGCACAGATATCTTGACGTAGCTTATCTCTCTGAATCAGAGAGGACTGAAGCAGGTCGGAACGAGCCTCCAAATAATGGCTTTTCTTGAAAGGTGTGCTTGTGGAAAGCAGCTCCATTGACGCATGGATCAAGACCTCCTCGTCAATATTGTCAGGGTCCAAGACTGAAATCAGCTCCAAAAGCTGCCTGGACTGTGGCTTTAATTTATGAAACGCCCAGACCGTTGCAATTGAGTGCGGGTAGATGACAAGATTTGTATCGAATTTTGTTTGGTACAACGCAGCGTGCTCATCAAAGTCGGCGTACAGTTCCCAAAACTCGCTCATTGTTAAGTCTTGGCGACGAATAATGCCTGCCATTTGGGAAATGGCCAAAGGAATGCCGCCGAGGGCGTCGGAAATTCGGCGTGTCGTCGCGACTTCACTCTCATCTGTGGTTGTGGTGAGACGGTTTAGTAGAGACAAGCTTTCAGTTTTAGAAAGAGGTTCGAGGTCAATTCCCGAATCTTCTCGGGTAAACATCTTCTTTGCAAGGGGATCTCGACTGGTTATAAGAATAGACCCGCTCCCTTGTGGCCAGTAGTCGGCCAAGATCATTGGGTCATCGGCGTTGTCAAAAATGAGCAGCCAAGTGGCATTCGGCTTTTCCACACCAGGTCTGGAAGAGTCGTCAGACACCCCAACTTGCTTGCGCGGATTCGAGAGCCAGCCTTTGACAATTCCTCGACTGACAACAAGACTATTGCAGTCAGAGGAGTCTTCAAGGCCCAGCGCCAGCGATATTTCTTGGTACTGCTGATCAAGTTTCGCCACTTCATCAGCTACAACCCAAAAAACGGCGTCAAAATCGTCTACATGACGGCGGCAAAACTCTCGCGCAATCTCAGTCTTTCCAATACCCCCGAACCCGCAAATCGCAAACTGTCGCAAGGCTGCGCCGGACGCCGTGGTTGTCTTTGTCGAGGGCAAAAGCTCCGTGGCAAGGCGTTGCAAAATATCTTGTCGGCCATAAAAGTCATCATTCAGCTCGTGTGTATTAACGAGGACGCAGGGCAGATTGACGACTCTGTGTGTGTCGGGTCGTAAGGTAGGGGTCTGGATCATTTCGAACCCGGACAGCGAGGTGCCTTCGGTTGCAAAGGTTGAGGGCCATTCGGCAGCCTCAGTAGAAATATGGTCATTGGCTTCGACATGATCTAATCTTGTTTAGTCAATGAATTGGATATATGAAAAGATCTGTACCTTTATAGGGTAGGTCACTCATAGTTGGAGAATACGAGCTCATTGTCGCGTACTGATATTCCTCTGGAGCAGTCAGATGTCAAAAGTATGTCCGAGGTAGAAGGGTGATAGTTCTCACGGTCTTCAAGGCGTAATGCCACGAGCTGAGATGCTCCACTGAGTGTTTCACAAACAAATTGGCGCAGCTGCGACACTCCTTGACTGTCAAGACTTTTTGTGAACAAACAAGTTTCGTGATGACTGAGATTGAGACCAACCACACTTTCCAAAGGGGTATTTATAGAGCATGCGCTACGTGTGACAAGCTAAAGGCCGTTAGAACGTGGCTTTGACGGAGTGCCATCCTCACCTGTTGATGTCTTGGGCGCAGAGCTGATGAATGAAGTTTTGAGTCCCTCAGCTCGTAGACGGAAAGCATTGGCATCCTTAGCGCCACCGCTTCAAATCTGTATGACAGATCGACAAGACTCGTGGCTTCTTGTTCGAACCTGGCGACATCAAACTTGATCGTTTTCGCAGTTGTTGCTTCTAGAATGTCCCGAAAACGAACAAAAGTGGCGGGCTGGTCAGCACACCGATGCGGGGTGCTGAGAAAAACAAGACCAACAATGGCGTTGACGATGGACTCGTATCTTGGGAATTGCTTGTTCGCTATACATATCGCCTGCTTCACTATGATGCCGCCAAGACTATGGGCGACGAGTAGCAGTGGGCGGCTGGATGCCTAGACTAGATCAACAACCAGAGTTTGATGCCAGGGTTGCGGGTCGCATACTTGGGAAGCGCTTGTCGGGGAGCGGAGGGACGTGAGGCAGTGCAGAAATTCATACCCTAGCAGGAGAATTGATTCCCACGATGGTTTTGCTGATGAAAATGGAAATGCATATTCGTAGGCTAAGACACGGGCCGCCGCGCCGGACTCGGGTAGAGTGGACAGCCATTTGTCCTGCGAAAATGGCCAGTCTTCTGGATTTGTCGTATCAAGACCGGGAATTAGGACAATGCTGTTTCTCCTGGTCAGCAGATTCTTTCTGATCAAAGATTCTCCCCGTCACGCTGTACTCGGTACTGGCCTGGCTCCGATTCTCAGGGTTTCGCAGGACACGGATTCCCTTTGTCCGTGCGTTGTCCATTGTCTTGATAGGTCTGGAATTTTCCGTGGCAGGGAAACGGCGGGGTGTCGATGATGAGCGCACGGCTATTTCGTACGATTTCTTCTCCTCGTGTCCAAAGAGCAAACGAAGCCGTTTGCCCCTTGGTCGACGGGAGCGCCTCGGGCCTCAGTGCAAGTGAATGCGGGGGCGTCTCGCTGACATGCCGGGCATGCACCCTATCATGTCCGTCCACGTCACGGTGCATACTGACCAGTTGCACCATAGCTTGGCTGAGGGCCTTTTCTGTGGCTGGAGAAATGGCAATCATACAGGAAGGGCAAACGGCACAGTACTTGGTACATGCTGCGCAATTTTCTTCAGGTATCGATTCCGCTCCAAAGGAACAAAGCTACTTATGGCAGTCGAGACGGGTCGCGACCTGGTACACCCTTATTCAACATTCCCAAAACCCAGAGCACCACTGATTGCGAGTCCCAGAGATGAAAGATATAGGCCAATAGCGTGATTGGGGTACAGACAACCAAGAACCACCAAAACTCCACGCTGCCCTGCCCTAGGATATCGATGTTCATGCCGAATAAGCTCGAGCAAAAGCTGAGCGGGATAAACAAGGTCGCCAGTATGGTCAGTTTCTTCACTCGTTCCGACTGCTCAACAGCTCTACGGGACTCGTCAATGATGGACCTGTTCATCGCCAAAGTGATGCCACGGTCACATAACTCGGACAGGCTTAAGCATCGGCCTAGGAGATCCTCGTAGTCATCGACAAGACCTTTGACGGTGAATGAGCCACCGTTGTTGCCCATTGGGAAGCCAGTTGCCGGATCAAGCCCCCGCAACGCGCCTCCGGCGCCGCTCCTGGACTCACTTGGCTCAGGTCTAGCGCCTTTGAGGAATCGCGCGCTCTGGTCAGCTAGTCTACTGAGAGCAAATTTGCCGTGCTTCAGTTGGTGAGCGTGTCGACCGAGTATTCCAGCGAAGTAGTGCAGCGAGCTCAGCACGTCTGTCGTGACTCCATCAGCCATTGTCTCAACATGCTTATCGATTTTCTCTTGCATTAAATTCAGAAACTGGACTTCAGAAAAGGCCGCATGTGCAAACAGTGGAATACACATGGAAAGCGGATCGCTTGGTGCTTTCCTCGCGAGATCAACAAGGGCGACAACTGAGTCGTACTGTAGCGCAAGCACCGCCGTACTTTGCATTGTATGTGAAGCTGGGCTGTTGCCGCTTTCCAGTCTATTGGTAGTCGTCCTGAAGGCCATCTTAGGATGATGTTGCACGACTGGTAATGCCGTTGCCTTGTTTCGACTGTGGCTTGTCCACGGCCCCTGTGGCGATTGCTCAAGCGGCCGTTCATGATCCATCCACGCTACCACTGTGATCAGGTTGGACCTTTTTCTCCAAATATCCGAGGATAAACTTCCCTGTCCATCCATTCGCGCTTTTTGCGATGCACAATGAAATCCATTGCTCAACGATGGAGAATGAAGAGCAAAGCGTGCCATACTCTCGCACCACTGAATCGCCACATGTGATTTTTGAGGACCTGAGCTGTGCTCTGTACTTTGCCATTTCCCTAGACTGCTGAGATCGTTGCAGACGGACGTTTCCGTCGCCAAAGTCGTCCCTGTGGAGTATGGTGGTCACACATAGGCGAAAAATGTTGCTTGATGAGCTGGCAAGTGATGGAGAGCTGAATGCATGCCTCTCAACACTCACCGACAGAAAATCCATGTGCCGACGAAAAAACTCTGGGTCAATGCTGTACTTGCTTCCAATCGTAGCTACCCACTGAGGAGAGATGAATCCGCGAATGAAGACAATCTCTCCTAGATCACCAAAAGAGCTGCGCACGTCACTGTATAACGACCGACATGCCTCCGAGCCATAGCTCTCCACGTGCCATCTATTATCTGCGCTGTGGTAAGCTATGACAAGATTTTTCGCCTCATCTGGTTTATATGCAACTGGTGGGGTTTTGGCTGGACCTGTCAGGATATTGCGGTCTTGCAACATCCATTCGGCAAGGTCGACATAATTGTTTCCAGGAAACACTGAGTTGTTGGCATATCGTCTTGCAAGCGAGATGATAGCTCGAGCATAGTTCTCTGGGCTTTCTATAGACATTTCTCGTTAGGGAAGCTAGTGATGACTCTCTAGTCGCAATCTTACTGAGGGGCTTGGAGGCCTGGTGTTCGCTCATGGTTCAATCTGATCGTAAAGATTTATCGACCCTGAAAATACCCAGCAGTTTGACAAAGTAATGAATTGAGAAGAGTCGGCTATCTGATATTCTTCGCAGAACTGCGAATCTTCAGCTGGTTGCGGCTCCTCAGCAACCGCCATGACCAAGAAATAAAAAGAGGTCAAGTCACCGCTTTTTTGCTCAATCCTGCAGAAGATCGTACTCGGTTGTGCCTTCCCATCCACAGTGGGCGGCTAAACAGGGCGCGAGATTGGCTAGTGGTTCGCACCATGTGTATATCTGTATTAGCGGGATGCAAGAAGATTGCCTGTTGAGTGGCGTCACAACGTGGATTTAGCTTAGTTGTAAACCAAGTGCTTACGGGAATGGATTACGATTTCAGATCGCGACTTCTTCGATGCGTGCGGCGCAACTTTGAGGGTCAGCTATATTCAAATAGATCCCATATTACCTATTGATCTGAACAAAATATGCCATATTTCTCATAGTCAAATTCGCTTAGGCTTTGGATGCATTCGCCCCATCCATCGTCTATCTGTCCCAGCTGATGCTCATCGCCAAGGTCAAACATTCCAGACCTAGCTGCCAAAATCTTGCTCTGTTGCGTGCGGTCGGACTCATTCAGCGATATAGGATGCGGCACCCAAACAACTCTCATACCGGCGCGCCTTGCGGCCTCGACCCCTGCGATGCTATCCTCGAAGGCGAGGCACTCGTTTGGCTCAATCGCTCTGGTGCCGGGCGGCCGCGTCTCGTTCAGGACCTCAAGGGCAATCACGTAGACATCCGGGGCCGGTTTCTTCTTATGCTGCGGCATGGACGGGTTGTTTCCCAAGATGATGCGCTCCTGGGGAAACAGGCCCATGAGCGCACTCGTTTCCGGCTGCGTCATCTTGCGCCGGTAGGACGCCACGGAGCTGGTCGACGCGACGGCCAATTCGACCCTGCTGTGGGGGGGTTGGCCGCGGGCGCCTGACAGTTTGGACACGAGCGCAAAGGCGCCTGGTAGCGGCCTGCATTGCGCGAATTTCGTGTACATGAGGTGGTGCGATTCCTGGGCGTATTGCTCGCGGGGGATGGGCAGCTGCGCCCAGTCGTGGAACAGGTCGCTGTTGGACGAGCCCGGCACGCCCATCAGTTGGCAGCGCATGCGGCTGGTCAGCGGCGGGCGGTCGTAGCGAGTTAGTATTTCGTTGAGGGTCTCGGCGACCTTGTCTTCCGAGTCGATGAGAAGACCGTCCATGTCGAAGATGCATGCCCGCACTGGCAGGAAGCTATTCGGTTTGTGGGTGCCTGCCGGCAAGTGGCTGGCCGGAACATGCTCGACTTTGACGTCTGACATGGCGTATAAAGCAGGTGTCTTGGGCCCTGGTGCTTCAGGCCTCTTCTATGTAGTGACCAAGATAGTCGGCGATGAAGGTAGTGACCAAGGTAACGTGATGAAAGGTGTATGTTGTGCGGACAGCGCCCAGCTGCGTGAGGTGGAGAAGGAAAGAAGCCGCACGCAGGTCAAGGATTGTGTGCACATCACACACATTGACAATTTTTTTTTAACTCATACAACACATGCAATATACAAGATACCGTTGTGTTTTAACCAAGATTCAGCGTCGAGTGCTTCAAGCGAGCAAGCAGTTCTTTACCCGGGAAGACTTATCAGGCACAAAGCAGAGTTCAACACAGCGTGCAGCGTTTTGGCAGTGCAGGCTTAAATTTTCTACCCCGACTCCAGAATTTTTGCGAATCATATACGATCATCACCGTGTCTTGTCCAAATTCCTTTGGGAAGCTCGTATAGGGTGATGGAAGGCAGGCAATACTGGCTGTGAACAAACGCACCTCAATACACCGAGACTCTGTGCGAGCTGAACCAATGACCTGACAGCCTAGATGCCAGGATTGGTAAAGATGTGGTAATACCACGGCCATAACCTATTTAGGCTTTACCATGGCTCGGAAGTAGGGTCGTATTTCTGTGAATACTCCGTACGACCTACCCGAAGGGGCATCATCCCATCTGCGTCACTCTTTGCCCAGTGTCAGCTCGCTGATACTGCAAAGATGATGGCGAGAGATGGATTGCAAAAAGTATAAAAGACAGTTAAACCACCGCTTCCATTGCGTCGTGCATCAGACCTCGCTCTACATAGTCTCGCCATTGACCCAACAACTCCCATCTACGACGCCCCCCAATCCAAAATGGTCAACAGCTCCGTCCTCTCCCTTGCCGCCGTCGCGGCTATCGCATCGTTTGCCGCGGCCGACAACTGCAACACCGGTCTCCGGTACTGTGGCGCCGGGCTCTTGAGCAAAGGTACAGCGCGGCTGTGGCAGACTCCCTAGCATCTGGTAGATTACTGACTTGGTCTCTGGCAGGCAACTACCTGCCCCAGATTCTGGACGAGCTCAGCAGGGTCAGCTCTCCGATTGACAAGGCGCATATTTACAATACCATATTTTACTGCGCGGGCGGGTCGAACGGCGACATCCGCTACGTCACTTTTTGTGACCGGGGCTGCCGTGATGGCGGCTCGGGCCACGACGACTTTTGCTAGATGGCCGTGGCCGTTTGCGCTTTTTTTTGTTGCTTCGCAGGCTTTATTGGTATAGTCTAAGTGCTTGCAACTGTTGGAGATGGAGTCGAGGTTTCAATGTTGCGGTTATGCGATGGAAGGTGAAACCACGACTGGAAATGCAGAATAGTACAGAGTACTTTGCTCTGAATCATGTGTAACGTACGTTTCGAGTGACATGCCAAGCATAAAATAAATAAAAAATTCCAGGTTTTCGGAACGAGACAGGAAACATAGTTACATAAGATGCGGATGCAATTCCGTCAAGCCAAGATTGTCGGCTGGTATGATCAGCATCCTAAGTTTGGGGATCTGCACCTAGTTAACTAGAAAGTTGAAGCTTGATCTGCACTGGTAGTGATTCTCGGCGCGACGTTTCAGACGCTCCACCAGACCAGGAACGAGACGCGTCCAGCATAACTTTGGAAAATCTCCGTTGCGAGAAGCAATGCGAATGCGGCTACGGCACGGGACAACCATCGAGCGCATAGTGTGGCGTGATTAGTAAAAAGCGCATTGAGGCACGTGGCGCAACTTTGAGCGTCGGGTAGAAGGCTGAAAGAGAGTCTGCAGACATTTTTTGTCTTCTTTTTCCCTCTATGCGCCGAGTATTATTATTCGGTATCATCCCTGGAATACCCCTGACATCTCAGTGGTTATACGGATAACAGTTTTTCAGCAGACCCGCAACAGCCTTGACAGGTGGACAGTGGAATTTCCGAGCCGAGACAAGTGCAAGGCTGGCCTTGCACCCTGGCCAGTGGGATACGAGCGTTTAATCCATGATTATTAGTGGTACGAGAGAGGCTAGAACCGGTACAACCGCTACAACTGAGTGGCCACTGCTGGGGCTGTAGGGGCTGTAGGGCCCAAGGGGGCGCCTCCCAACGCCACCAGAATTCCAGCCCAGCTGGGCCAGTCAATTCGTTACCGAGTACCAACATTGCTAGGCTTTTCTTTTCTTCTTCTGCCAATAAGGGGGCAGTACAAATTAGTAAATTCATAGATAAATCGTCCATTATTATTATTAACCCCTCTTCTCCCTTCTATTGCCTTGTCCCTCAGCCGCTCCCCATTCCAGCAAAAACAAAAGAGTAAGGGGGCCGCGATAAACTAAGCCTCTTTTTACCTAGAGCTTCCCGGTCCGCATCTGGTCACCCCAAGACCCAATATTCCTTCTCTATTCTTGCTTCTTGCTTCCTCTCTTCCCCTGCCCTGGGACTTTTTGCCTCCTTCAACCCAACCGTGATCCTCTCTTCATCACCTCCACCCGAGAACAAATGTACGCGACCGATCCAAAGTCGGGTCCCGCCGCCCGCCTCTTTGCCGTGCCCATGTCGAAGCGCTTCATCGTGGCCATTGCGGCCGCCGTTGGCTTCGTCTGGATCCTGCTACAGAGCCACCGCATCCAGCCGGTGAGGGACCGCGCCAAGGCTCTCTACGGGAACAACATTCTCGACAATATCAACAACAGCACGCTGGGTGTACGTAATTTTGTCTGTTTCTGGAGTCTTTGTACAACCATCGCTGACCACTGCAGTTTGAGAAAATCTATGTCATGGGCCTCGCCTCCCGCACTGATCGACGCGACGGCATGGCTCTGCAGGCCGCCCTGAGCGAACTGTCCATCGAGTTCATTGACGGACCCATGGGCGACAATATTTCTGAAAAGGCCATCCCGGTTGGCGAAGATGGAAAGCACCTTGAAGGCGGCGAGCTCGGCTGCTGGCGTGGCCACATCAACGCCCTGCAAGAGTACGTCTCCCTTGCGAACGCCATCTAACCCATCGACCCCTCACCCCATGCATCACCTCGCAATCAAATGACATGCGCTGACACGACCGCCTCCTAGAATCGTCCGCCTCAACATTTCCTCCGCGCTCGTTCTCGAGGACGACTCGGACTGGGATGTCCGCATCCGCTCCATCATGCAAGACCTCGCCCTCTCGACCCAGGCCCTGACGCAGCCCCTCGCCGGCAGCACTTCGTCGTACGCCGACTCGACCTACCCGCGCAACGACGACAAGCAGAACGCCACCGTGCCCGAGTTCGACATCAACGCGCTCCCGCGCACTGTGACGCCAAAAATCTCGCCCTACGGCGACGAGTGGGAGATGATGTGGCTCGGCCACTGCGGCATGAGCTTCCCCGCCGCTTCCGAGGGCCTGCCCATGGGTCGCGTCATCCACACCGACGATGCGACGGTGCCGCCGTCGGGCCTGTGGTCCTTTGCGCCCAAGCCGCACACGCTCATCGAGGACTACCCGAAGCGCACCCGCGCCGTCCACCACGTGTCTAACGGCGTTTGCTCGCTCGGCTACGCCGTCACGCAACAGGGCGCCCGCGGCCTGCTGCGCGAAATTGGCCTGCGCGAGGTCAAGGACCCCTTGGACATCCTGCTGCGCTTCTACTGCATGGGCCTCGCTGGCCGCCGCAAGCACAACTGCATCGCCGCCCAGCCCCCCATCTTCAACCACCACCGCCCCGTCGGTCCAAAGTCGAGCAACAGCAACATTGGCGACCACGGAACCGAGTTCCAGAACGAGCCGCACACGGACATGGTGCAGTGGAGTGTCCGCTTGAATGCCGATGCCATTATGGATGGCCAGACGGAGTTTACAGACGCCTACTAGGGGATACACTCTTGTTTTTTTTCTTGTTTGATTCTACCATCGAGGGCACGCAGAGTGTTGCTCCTTCGTTGTCCTTTGTTGACCTGTAATTGCCATCTGTCGACCCATCTTTTCGGATTTTTTATTATTTTCTTGTTCATATATCGGCGTTTTGGGGCTCTTGGGGTGGAACGGGGCCAGACTGTACCATACAAGTATCAATATCACGGAATTCAAAGATTAATCTCCAATCGCACTGCAGACCATGTGCTACCGACAATTGGTGGGGGAGCACACGTTACGTCCTATCGTGGGGTGTCTTGGTTCCCCCACGTTGAGGGGAAGCCCGTCGGCTCAGTTACCCGACTGAAGCCCGTCGACCCCGTTTGTATATTTACAGGAGCAACTCCAATCTGGATTGAGCAATTCATCTCTCAAAAACACCACTTCCTACAATTCATCAAAATGGTGACAATCGAACAGCGTAAAAGAGTCGGCCAGGTACGTATCCCCATCCCCTCACCTACCACTCACTCACTCACCTTGCATAGCTCTTTGCTGTCGGCTTTCACGACACCACCGTCAACAGCGCCATCACCTCCCTCATCCAAGACTACCACGTCGGCGCCGTCGTCCTCTTCAAGCGCAACGTGCGCTCCGCCGCGCAGCTCCGCACCCTCTGCCATGACCTCCAGCAGCTCGCCCGCGACGCCGGCCACGCCCAGCCGCTGCTCCTCGCCATCGACCAGGAAAACGGGCTCGTCACGCGCATCGCGCCGCCCGTGGCCGCGCAGCTGCCCGGCCCGATGGCGCTCGCGGCCACGGGCTCGTTGGACGCCGCCGACGCCGTCGCCGACGCCACCGCCGACATGCTCCGCCATTTCGGCATCAACATGAACTACGCACCCGTCGCCGACGTCAACTCGGAGCCGCTGAACCCCGTCATTGGCGTGCGCAGCCCGAGCGACAACCCCCAGACAGTGGCGCGGTTCGCCGCCGCCTGCGCAAAAGGCATGCGCGGCAGGACCGTCGTCCCCTGCGTGAAGCACTTTCCTGGCCACGGCGACACCGTCACCGACTCGCACTACGGGCTGCCACGCATCGACAAGAACCGCGAACAACTCGAAGCCACAGAGCTGCTGCCGTTTCGGCAAGCCGTCCGAGATGGCATCGAAATGGTCATGACGGCGCACATTGCGTTGCCGCGGATCACGGGCGACGACACACCGTCCACGCTGTCCCCGCGCGTGCTGCGCATCCTGCGCGACCAGTTTGACTTTGATGGCGTGATTATAACGGACTGCCTCGAGATGGACGGCATACGCGCCACGTACGGCACCGTCGAGGGCGCGCTGATGGCGCTGCAGGCTGGCGTCGACAGCCTCATGATCTGCCACACCTACGAGCTCCAGACGGCTGCGATTGACCGCGTCTGCGCTGCCCTGGAAACGGGCGAGATTGAACACACGCGCATCAACGAGTCTCTCGAGCGCATCCGCGCGCTCAAGGCCACGTTCACCAACTGGGGCCGCGCGCTCCAGATACGCACTGACAAAGCGCTCGCGGCCATCAACGCGCGCGGCGCCGCGCTCGCGCGCAAAGTCTACGCCGACTCGGCCACCGTCGTGCGCGTCCAACCCGGCGTCTTCCCCGTATCGCCTTCTGCCCGCACCGTGTTCGTCTCCCCCGGACCGGACGTTCCTGTCGGCGGCGGCGGCGCCGTCAACAGCGGCGACGCCGCCGCCGCACAGCCGACGCGCGTGCCGTGGGTGTCGAGCTCGTTTGGCGACGAGATCCGCGCGCACTGTGCCGCGCTGGAGGAGATTCGCTACACGCAGCGGCCGCTGAGCGATGCGCAGTGGGCGCAGATTGACGAGGCCGACGTGGTGCTCCTCGCGACGCGCAATGCGCGCGAGGCGCCGTATCAGCACGCGCTGGGGTTGGAAATTGCGAGGCGCAGAGGGGAAAGAGTGCTCATTAGCATTGCCACGTGTGCGCCGTATGACTTCTTGGAGGAGCACGCGGTGAGGAATGTCGTAGTGGTGTATGAGCCGACCCTGGAGGCGTTTCGGGCGGCGGTTGATGTTATTTATGACGTGGAGACGGCGAAGGGTAAGCTACCGGTTGCTGTGAAGAAGATATAGTTTATTGTACATGAGGAATACAGTCACAGTCTTGCTTTCCACATGCTATCCTTTCAAATTCCTGATAGTGCTGGGCCACCGTTGCTTGTCCAGTTCAAAATACTTCCACACGTCTGTGGCCGTGTCGTAGAGTACCTGGCCACCAACGTCCAGCTCCTCAAATTCGAGTGTCTGGGTGGGCAGGTGGTCATGCGTGTGGCGTTGCAGAGCATGGTCTTCATGCCTTGCAGACGTTGACACTGTCGGTGCCGGTTAGGAATACTCCGAATTTATACTGTTTTCGTATTATTTATTAACTTCTTTATCATTCCAATTTTGTTTCTCTTCTTGTACGTTCTTATTCATCTTCTATATTTTAATCCTTTCAGAGTATTCCCAATGTCCTTCCAGCCTAACGTTCAGAGAATTTTAAAACTATCGGAGAGTGCACAAAGCTCAGAGAAATTGAAATTCCGAACCTGCTCCCAAGCCACTCTAGGTAATAAAGAGCTTTTCTAATCCTGAAACCTGTTTCCCACTGTTTCCTGTAATCTTGTCTCCCTTGCACTGACAACGTCCCATTCCGTCTTCACACCTACTCCCTTTTAAACACCCGCCGCCCCTCAAACCACGTCTCACTCACCACCGCCTCCATCAGCTTCTCTGGCAGCAGCTCGCCCTCGACGACCACAAAGTCGGCCTTCTTGCCCACCTCCAGACTACCCGTCTCCTTGTCCGCAAAGCACGAGTACGCGGACCCGTGCGTCGCGCCCGCCACCGCCTGCGCGACCGTCAGCGCAAAGCCCGGATTCACCGCCGTCGCCAGCGCCGGCTCGCGGTACGAGCGGCGCGTCGTGGCCACGTACAGATTCGGCAGCGGCAGGTGCGGCGCGGTGGGCGCGTCGGACCCCAGCGCCAGCGTGGCGCCGCCGTCGGCGAACTCGCGGTAGGCGAACGCGCGCGCGCAGCGCTCCGCGCCGAGCAGCCGCGGCCACGCCCGCAGAATCGCCGGGTCCGCGTGCACCGGCTGCACGGACGCCGTGATGCCCAGCGCGCCCAGACGCCGCGCGTC